ATACGTAATTATCCATGCAGGCGAATTTTTCTGAAGAAAAAATTACTTTTTCTAAGAAAACCATGTTTTTAATTTTAATATACTATTGTATTGCCTTTGTTGTGATGAGATACTTTAAGAATCTGTCAAGTAGACTGAATCAATTCTCGCAAAACAACTTCAAGTCATAGTAATTTATTCTTTACATTGATCGAGTACTTTTTCAATTGAATTATAACAGTTACGTAGAGAGTATACTTTTAACTATTAACGTTGAGACCGGTAATGCTAATGAACTCAAAAGAATCCTCCAACGATAATTAGTTTCTTTTGCATTATTCACACGCCTCTGGATTAAAAGCAGTTAGCGGTGTTGATATATCCATAATTACTATAGACGTTTTGTTCACTCATCAACTTTAACGTTACATTCCTGACTTCAAAGCAGATTTCATTGTGTCTTACAAAGGAATGTCTTGTACTGATATGCAAGTAGACTGACCATATTCGGATCAAATAGACACTCTCACTGCTAAGAGAACAAAATTTAAAATATGATCTGCTTGAGACGTGGGCAGACTGAGCTATTTGAATTTATAATGCAGTTCCAGCACATGTAATATGTTCGAAGTCGTTATAGTTGGATAAAACTTATCGAGTTACATAAGAAAAAATATTTTACAAGTATAAATAACAAACTTTATGAAAGCGAAAAGCTCAGATCTATTTGTCTTTATACTTGAAAAATACTTTTTCTTATTTAACTTGATGTGTTCTATTCAATCATAATGAAAAAGAATCTGCTGGTATTCTCTGAATTGGAAACATATTACATATACTAGAAATACGTTAAAACTTGAATAACTCGGTCTACACAAGCCATGGGCAGATCATATTTTAAAGGATATTGTTGAATAAGGTCCTAAATCTAACATTCCGGTCGATTTCACTTTTAAGAATATAGAAAGATAGAGCATGAAATTCTGCATATTTCTGTATACTTATTTATTTTTCTTTGTTGAATCCCAAAATATTTACGAATCGTAAGTAATTTTACGGATCTATTACTTTCAGGGATTTTGCTTAATAGGTATGACACCGAGAATTTTTTCTTTTATAAGCTCCGTATGAAAAGCAAGAGCATAGATCGATGCAGTTTTTTATGCTTCACAGAATGACATAATAGTCATGTTTACCATTAGCTTCTCTCTTAAATTATGCAGTGTAAACGATACCGTACTAATTGGATCCTGTGTAATTTAAAAGAAAAACTATTGTCGAATTTTTTTTAAATACCAGCCACCATTTTTTGAATAACTCTTCACCATTGATAGCTATCGAGTTCAGGTTTTAACCATTCGATAGAGCAGCGCTGGGGGCGTCTATCTATATGAGACAACAAATTATACAAAACATTCTTGAGTAATTGTTAAACCGACTTTAAATGTGTACGCATCAATAAATTCTTATTTCTGTAAAGAATAACGAAGGTATTAAAACATAGAAGTGAGATTCCAAACATTTTCTAGCCAATGGGTATCATCTCTTTTTTGTTCTCAAATAAATATTTATTAGAACAACATCTATTATTTACAGAAATCAAAAAAAAAAAAGTTTTGTTGAATCGGTATTGAACAATTAACGATGTCCATTAGTATTGACGATAGGGCTTTTATTCTCTATATAAATAATATTTCAATACAAATCAATCGTTATGTCCCCATCTTTCTCCTTCTATTTGGTATAATTGGTCACTTAACTAGTTGTCTTGTATTTGTTCAACGCGCGCTTCGTACAAATCCATGCTCAATTTATTTTCTTGCTGCTAGTCTATCGAATTTAATTTTTCTTACAACATTATTCGTACCTATGCTTAATGCATGGGATAAGTCGTTTAATTTACTCAGTACTGTGTCTGTTCTATGTAAACTATCAATGTTTATTATTCTAACGACACGAACATTAGCTTTATGGTTCATTGTTCTCGCTACTATTGATCGTTATTTAATCTTATTTTATAATAATAATCGACATCGAATGACAGATTTGAAACAAACTTATTGTTGGATCTTGATCACTTGTATAGTATCAATATTAATCTGGATAGAAACTGTTTATTGTTTTGAAACTAATCTTGTAGGAACTCCTATGAAATGTTTCCTTAATTCAAACATATGTCTTTTATATAATACCATCATATTTGCATTGATTAGTATAACAATTCCATCAATAACGATGCTCATTTTTGGTCTTTTAACTATTATCAATATTCGTCAGTCTCAACGAATGATATATCCAAATATCAATACAATTACTAATTCAAATAGAAGAAATCGAAGAATTGATTGGATTCTTACTCGAATGCTATTGACACAAGTTTTTGTTATTTTTTTCTTGAATCTACCACAAGCAATTCATATACTGTATATAACAATTATATTTTATCAACCAATAACTCCTGTTAAAGCAACAGTTCTTGGTCTTATTTTTGATGCATTATTCCTTCTTCCATTTCTTTCTTGTTGTATTTCTTTTTTGTTATATATCTTAAATGAAAAGATTTTTCGTGAAACACTCGTTAAACTTGCTAAGAAAATTATTCAACGTTTAAAATGCAATAACTAATTATTGTATTAGAAAAAATGAAATGTATTTCATTATATATTAGCACTTATAACAATAAAAGACATTTAAATCATATGTTCAACTCTTTGTTTTTGATTTATAGAACTCAATAAAAATAACCGAAATACTAGTTATATTTAAAACTGAAAAATAAAGCTCTATGTTTACAAGTTAAGATTATTGAAATGTTCTTTTTTTTATCGAATAAAATCACGTATCATATGTGGCAACAGGAAGGACACATTACATATGAAACATTTTTCTCTTTTTATTACATGAAAAACTTAAAAATGAATAAAACATTTTCCTATCCATCGCATTGACTGCTATTAATAAATTTTTGATTTCATCTTTTTAAATGTTAATGAATAGCTGAAAGAAAACTCGTAATTGTTTGAAGATTTTTTTCCAACATTTATACAAATAAGGCGTTGATTTCTTCCATTATAAGTTTTCATATCTACAATTATAATTATCTTATATAAACATACATGATTTTAGCAATATAAAAGATCAGACTGAATTATATCCTTTAAAAGATTGTTTATTTGCTTATATTAACAATCACTGAATCATACATACTTATCTGAAAAAAAAATTTGTCTTTGAGTTACAAAAATCAAAATTTAAGTTAGCAATATTTTTTTGTTTGACAATGTATATTTAGAAATTTGTTGTATTGGTATAAATACTCAAATACTAAACAGTGAACCACGGACATAGAATTCATATTGAAACTCAGATTAGATTAACGTTCGCGTCCTGTGATGAACTGATTGCACTGATATATGCGTTTCCTAAAATATAAAGATATAAACTCGATGAAAACATGCACCTTGTGTAGCGGCACGCAACAATACTTCAATGAACGTTGTTACCAATGTGTCAATGTGTATTAACTACACTGAGTCAGTGGTCAGAAAACTGAATTTTTTCGTTGCTATTTATATTAGTTGTTAAGTGAAAATTTTTGGTTGAATTCTATACTCAAATTAAGAAATTATCTATCGATGATAATAATTGAATCGCTGAAGTGTTTTAAATAATCGGCATATAGCTTTTCATCGGTACATCAACCAGGGGTGGAACCGGTTGAGAAATATTAAAACGGTCCGGTCCGGCCGGTTGAAAAATCCTACCGGTCCGGTCCGGTCGGAAACCGGCCGGTTGGAATCACATGTCCAACCGGTGAAATTCCGGTGAAAACCGGTTAAAAACCGGTGGAAAAATGTCGAATTTTTTTTTGAAAACCGATTTTTAGAAAAAATCGCTCCAAATATGAAATAGTTTAAGGCGCATGTAAAAGACACTCATCATAATGAATCTTTTTAAAGAGAACCTCAGGAAAAACGATTAATATAACATGTTTTGAGCACTTTTTTACCTATTCTGACAGAAAAAACATGTGATACCTTAGTTTTTATGGTCAAAGACAGGATCAACAAAGAAGATTTTTGAAAAATTTCAACCGGTGAAATTCCGGTCTTTACCGGCCCGGTTGATTTCTTCAACAGGTCCGGTCCGGCAAACCGGTACCGGTCCGGCCGGACCGGTACCGGTTTGCCGGACCGGTTCCAACCCTGACATCAACTACTCATTATGTGTCTTAAAAATTGTAAACAGCAGCAGTATTGCGCTTTTGAATAATCAAACTATTCTATATATGTTAATAATATGTCGAAACTTTTTTTGATGAATAATTAAAAGAGGTACTGCAGAGAAAATCTTGATAATTCATTTTTGACAAAAATATTTCTATTTGCCATATAAAACGTTGACTAATACAACATAATTACATAAGAAAAAATGATGCATTATGTTTTAACAGTTTACATTTAAAATAATCGTTGTTTTTATTCTCGGTACACATTTTGTTTTGGATTATATAAAATGATGATCGACGCAACACGACGTCTTTTGTTATTGTATATTTTCTTAAATCCTTCAAATCATTAACAACTGTAAGTCTTGAATCAACTATCTCGTAACATGTTGACTATACTGTGACATATATCTGCTTCTGTGGTCAATTAATGTGTATGTAGAGTGTAAGAACTCTGCATTACGGCAGTCGTTTGTCCAGAGCTACAGCTAGTCATTATTGCAGGAAAAATATCCGACTAATGAACCTGCCGCTCCGCATCACTCCACACCGCAAAATAGTCGAAAGACAGCAGGATTCCTCTTACGTCCCTTACATCACTCTGTATGTAAAATGTAAGATTACTGAAAAACAAAACATGATTATGACAGTCTGTTAATGAACAAAATGTCTTTTGAAAAATATTTTCAATTAGTTCATAATGTTTGTATATGATTACAACGAGCAAGAGTTCTTTTTTTTTTTTCGTTTTAAAATAATACAAATCAATGAAAAGAACCCAAAAAAAGACAAATCATTTTTTACTGAAAAGCATTTTTCTAAAGTCATCATTACTCATTGTATTTGTAGTTGTTGGTGTTGATTGACTCATCGATGTTGCATTCGTTGTTATTGCAACTTTCCTTGGTACTAATGAAATTTGAGAATGTCCTCTACCTCTTGGTCCAGTTGATTTCGGTGCTTCACCTAATGATGTTGCTTTTGATACAACTGTTTTAGTTGTTGGTGCTAATTTAATTGGTTCTTTACGTTGTGGTGGATTACTAATAGCAACTTTAATTGTATGTCCATCAATATCTGTTCCATCAAATTTAAGTATTGCTTGTGAAGCTTCTTGTGCATCATTAAATTCAACATAAGCAAGTCCTTTGGATTTTCCACTTTTATGTGTTACTAATCGAACATCTTTAACTTTAAATCCTTTTTCTAGAAATAAATTTTGAAGTTGTTCTTTAGTTGTTGAAAATGATAAATCTGATATAAATAATTTATTTTGTTCTAAAGCTGTGGCATATTTAAATTTTTTAGTTAGATCATTTGATGCAGCTTTATTTGGATCATAAGCACTAACATACATGGGTCGACCATTTATTGGTGTATGATCTAGTTTTAATGCTTGACGATAGCCGTCACTTGTAACAAAATCAACATAACCAAAACCTTTTGATTTACCAGACCATTCATGTTTAACAAGACGTATGTCTTTTATTTCACCAGCTGATGAAAGTACTTGACGAATTTCATCTTCAGTAATTTCATAAGCCAAATTAGCGATAAATACAGTATTTAAATGATCAATATTTTTTGTAGAACTGACTATAGAAGTGGCAGTTGAAATTGAAGATGATGCAAGAGAAGGAGGTGGAGCTGGTATTTTAAAACCTTCACTATCTATTGTTGGAGCTTGAGGTTTCTTTTTAATAGTCTGCGCTTCTTCTGGTGATAATTTTCGTTTACGAGGTGATTGCTGTTGTTGCTCCGTGGTATTACCATTGCTTTGAACTGATGCAGCAGCTAAAACAAAGTTTATTATACAATTATTATCCACAATGAAATTATTTGAAGATGTTTAGTTTATTCAAAACATTACAGTATAATAACTTTCAAAGAATGAATTAAGAAAGAATCATACGTTAATATTTAAGTTAATCTATTAGAACTCGGAAAACTATCTTGGCAGAAGTGATGTGTGATGATCTGACTCCGTTATCGCAATACTTCGGGAATTTCACAATCAGGCTGAATAAAACAATGGAGTCGACATTTCTGAAATATTGAGATAATAGTATTCGATCATTGAGAACCTAAGAAACAAATATCACCATTTGACTTAGCATGGCAAATTACTCTTGTCTAGACGCTTTTTTGGATAATCGACTGTCAATTGACTGGAAACAAATGTTTTAGGACAAGTCTAATAACTCTAGAATAAAACAAGCTACAAAATGTCAACCTTATATAGATTGACATGGAAGAACTATCGTTTAACCCTATTAAAAGTCTAAACCGCATGAGAAATAGTTTCAAAATATTGTTGTCGAAAATCTCGACCAAGAACTCATCTAATTAGTTAATCGCTAGCCAATGGAATGTTGATCTATTTCGATGGTCTCGAGTTTTCACTCTTAAATGGTAAAACCTGCAGATTTCTATGATGTTTATATCAAAAGATATTCTAAGCATAGTGGAACATAGTTATTATATTTTAAAATGAATAAATAGTAGATAGAAAATGATATATGAGAATAGATTGTCTATTCTTACTTGTATCCATTTGTTTATTCGAAACTTTAGTTGATTTTTCTTTGGTTTCTTTTTGTTTTCCTTTATTGATTTGTTTTTTATTTGATTGTTGTTGTTGTTGTTGTTGTTTTCGTTTAGGTTTTTCAATTTGAATAATTGTATGTTTAATTTGTTTTAATTTATCTTTAGTTTCTTTTAATTGTTGTATAGTTCCATATTTTTTATCGTGTTCTAATAAAAGATTACATATAATTAATGGATAATCCATTGTTTGTATGTGATTTAATGCACGATATAAAACTTTTCTTGCATGTTTTTCATCTCCATAATTAATTTCTGTATAATAATAATTTTTCCATAAATTTGATATCATTTGATTATGTGTTTTATTCATTAATGTTCGACCATTCCATATTTTTCTAGCATGTTCAATTGAATGAAATGATTTTATTTCTAAATGTATCCAAAATAATTCAAGTTGTCCATTATATTTTAAAAATAAATTTGAATTATTTGATGATAAAAATAATTCTTGATATTGATCAGAAGCATATTCACATATATGACGAATTTCTTCTTTTAATAAATCACATTGTTCGGAATTATTTAATAATAATTCTTGATGATAATGACGACGACGATATTGAAAATAAGCTAATTGTATATCAACAAATGAAATAAGATTTGTTGGATCAGAATTAAGTGCACGATCATAGATTTTTTTTAATTGAGAATGATCAACATTTCCAGTCAATTCCATATATTCAGCATAACGAATCCATAATGATGCTACCCATGGACAATTTCGTAACGAACGTTCAAATATTGATTGTAGAATAGTTGGAGATGATAAATATTCTTCGGCAAAATCGATGTATGAAAGCCATAAATCACCATCAAGACAATTATCAACTAAAACAAAAACAACACAATACAATTCATTCACGAGTAAACTATTAACATTCTACATGAAAATCTTATTGAACTCTATGATGATTTATAATTCAACTAGTGTTTTGTCTAGTGTGAGAAAAGGCGAAAGCAATTATTTTTTCGAAGATTGGGTTGACGTTATCAGAGTTTGTCATCTTTGTGCTATATATTTGTTGTCTCACAAAAAGAATTGTTCACTATTCCGAAATTTTAAATTGCCTCTTCGAATAAGAAAATATGGATATTACATTAAAAGATTCGTTTTTATCTATCAGCATAAAATGAATATTCTAATAATTCGAGTTCATACGAAAAGAATTGGTAAGTAGCAAGATCAAAAATTAATGAAAACTGAAAGATTGATATTGATAGAATCTTTAAATATTTAGAAAACATCGCCGATAGACATAAATATCGAACAAATGAAAAAAAGAACATCCAAAAAGTTTAATATTCAAGATATTTTTCTTTCGAAATTACCATTCTAGTAGAGCTCTACCTTAATAAAAACTTTCGTCTTGAAATATTAAATACTTAAAGAAAGACAGAATGATATTCATCAATAACGATCAGTAAATTGATTTCTCGTCAAGAGTCTATATTTCAAGAAATAACATTTCATTGTTGCTAAACTGCAAAGAATAGAGACATTCAATTTCAGCTTATTCTGACCATCGACTTAGTGTTAGCAGTGCAACTAACACCTTTTGAGATAACAGAGTCAAATTATTTCAAATCTAAAAACAAGTGTCTGCTATTCAACTCAATACAATGAATAACCTCTGCCTAGCTACTTTTCCAGACAATTGCAGATTAATTGGCTGGAACTGGAGCTTTTAAAAAAAAGATCAAACGGAACAAGCGAGAAATGTCGACTTTACATAGATCGAAAGGAGAATAGTTTCGAAATATCATTTTTAGAATTCCTCTTGAATGGTGGAGACGGCTAGTCTCTATAACGTTTCTATTATAAGTTATTTTAAAAACTTCGGAAAAAATTATATTTTGAAATGGATAGTGTAGATTTACAGTTCTTATCAACACGACTGCTAGGACTAAAATCCTCTCTTTTTATTCATGCCACTTTAGTTTTGTTAAAATATGTGACTGTATAAATTGATCTCCAATTGAGTTCTAATATTATCTGCTCAAAACTAGAATTACAATTTTGTCACTAACATATATATATAAGTTAATTAGAATATCATACCAATTGCTCGTTCGTATAAACATTGAATACGTGCTGGTTCTTTTTCAAATTCAATATATTTTCTATAGGTTGCAACACTTCTATTAGTATTATCTAATTCTTGTTCAAATTTTTCACATTGTTTTAATTGTTGAATAGCATGATCAAAATCATTTTTTAATACTAAATCATATTTCTCCATATAATTTGTCGGTAAATATTCTTTATATTGTTGACAAAATTCATTATAATCTTTATAATAAATAGTATCCATTCCATGTAATGGTATTGATAATTGTCGACGATATAATGTTAAAATATAATCAACATGTTGAAGAATTTTTTCTTTTAAATCATTATTTGTTTTATTTTGATTATATTGTAATAAAATACCATCTAATATAGCTTTTTCTGTTTCAATATAAGCAGCCCATAAAATACTACCTTCAGTTAAATGAAGAGCACATGAACTAAGACCACGTTCAAATAAATTTCGAAGTTCTTCAATAGAATTTAATGATACATAATATGGTATACGATATTGAACATATTCAATCCATATTTTAACAGATAAATAATCATTAACAGCACGTTCAAATAATTGAATAAGTTCTTTATTTTCTTCTGTATTTGATATTAATAAACGAATTTCATCTCGAATCCAATCAAGCCAAAGTTGTTGTGTTAATGGATATATTTCAGACATTGTTTGACGAGCAAAACGTAAATGTTCAAGATTACCATATTGATGAGCTAAATTTATATAATCAATATGTGCTTGATAATTATATGGATTTGATTGAACTATATCACGATGTGCAACTAGTTCAGTTTCTTGTTTACTATCATCAATTTTTTCGTCAGCTGAATCCTCTGATGTACTACCATCGTCATCATCATCATCATCATCATCATCATCTTCAATATCATCTTTACTTATTTCCATTTCTTCGTCATCAGATGCCATCTTTTAAAATATCTGAAGTGAAAATTAATAAATCATAGACTCATATATGTTTTGTAGTTAAATCAAACTAGTAAAATATTTTCTTTTTTCAAAGGTCTATCTAATGATAAATTTTACTTAAAGTGTCTTGTTCAATCATTGTCTACTTGAATTCGATTATAGATACTTAGAAAGGTTTTTTAGAAATGTATTTCATTATTCTTGTTTTCATTTCTGACTTTTTTGTTGAGGAGTTAGAGAGTTTTAATTAGAATATATCAATATTCCTTTTTCAAATTAGAAGAAAAATTGATGAGATTGTCAAATATCTCTAACGTTATGTTTGAAGTTTTCTTTTGCCCCTTGTGTGAAAATCGTCAAAATGATCAGAAAAATAAGATAGAATTTAATAATTTTCATAAATTGAATAGTTTCTTTAAAAGAAATTCTCTATGGCACTCTATACTCTAAGCAATATATTACCTAGATTTTCTTCAAACACCGGGAAAGCCAACACGATCTTTAGAAGAGTGCTAATCTCTCAAGAGAGATAGAACCAGTCTGACAAAACAACCTCTCCAACTTTTAATCTCCATTTAAACTCATATTTTGCTCGAAGCTACGACTTGTGTTAATGATGATAACTAGAGAAGAAAAGTCTAATGAAACGAACACCTTCAAGGTTTTCAGTTCCACTAAAGCAAAAAATTAGCTCAAATAAAGATTCTCAGTTGCTACTAATTTATACCAATTCATCTATGCTTCTCGGCTTCTATGGTGGATAAAACACTAACTCTAAATGCAATCAAAAATTTCTTTTCAGTTGATTTTACTCGGATTAAATATTGAGAATAATCAAATATAACTATTAGTAAGAACTTTCAAAAAGACATATTCATTTTTTTAAAGTTATTCGACATTTCAAATCTCAAATTTCTAATTAAAAGAAAAACTATTGATTTTAAACATTTTTATTTTATTGCTAAAATTATGAAGTCAAAACAAAAAGAAAAAAGAAAAACATATCTGACAAAAGTTTAAAATTAGTAGAGAGAGAGAGAAAGAGAGATAGAGAGAGAAATACATGAGAGAAAGAAAAAATATATGTATATATAAATGTTCAAGTTCTCTTAGATATAGAATACGAAACGTGCGGGTAACCACATGCACACCGAGCAGAAAGCACTGATAATAAAAAAAAAAAAAAGCAAAATTGAATGATGAAAGACTCTCTCTACAAATTTTATTTAATAAGTGGATCAAATTCTTTTGTTACTGTTCGAAGTGGACTCTGTGTAAAAGCCGAATTTGTAAATGATGATGAACCATTTGTTTTCTTTTTATGATAAATATGATGTTCATTTTTATTTGATTGTTGAGATTTTTTTTTATTTGAAATTTTAATTGAAGTTGATGATGAACGAGATGATGATGATAATGATGGTGATGTTGAATCATATGCAGATATACGTTGTTGTTGTTGACTATTTGAATTATCATTAATTGTTGTTAAATCATTATTTATTGAAAATGTTTTTGTTGAATTATTTATTTGTTGTAAAAATGGTTCTGATATACTTTCAGATGATATTTCTTTTCCTTTACCAGAATCAGGTGAATCACTTGATAAACATTGTTGATTAGATGATGTTAATGTTGAAAATAATGATGGTAATAGAAATAAATCCGTTGGACGTGATGGTAAAATTTTTATTGAATCATTATTATAATTCATTAATTTCATTTCAAGTTCATTTGTATAAAGTAATAATTGTTGAATATGTGTTAATAATTCTCGATTTCGTTGAAGTAATTGAGTATTTTTATTCTAAATAAAAAAGAAATTTAAAAAATTTTGTTTTCTTTTTGTGACATACTTGTGCATCAATACGAGCAGCTATTTCAATATTTAATTGATCTTTAATTAGTTTAATTTGATTAAATGCTAATTCAGATTCATTTTGCATTTGTTGTATTTGTTCTTGCATAAATTGCATTTGATGCTTAAGTGTAAATTCACTTGATGAATGAGATTGAAATAAATTTAATGGTTTGCTTTCAGTAATTGTTGGAGACTTAAACAAAAAACATTAAAAAAAGTGCATTAGATTTTTTTTTTTTTTTTCTTATTGTTAAAGAATTTACTGTAGATGCTTGTACACTTTGTAAATAACGTTCTGCTTTTTCTATTGGATCCATATTAGGTGCAAGTATTTCACGGCTTATTTGTTTACCTTAATAAATAGAAAATTAATTTTCAAAATTCAATATTATCAAAAAAAATCATACAAGTTGACTCATTTTCTGATGAACTAGAATTAATTTTAATTGGACTAGATATTTGATTAGTATTATTGTTATTAGTTGATTGTGCTATTGGTGATGATGATGCTTGTTGTCGTTGTTGTAATGCTATTTTATGACAAACTTCAAATGCTTGTCCAATTGTACGTACAATACGCATAGCTTCATTCTAAAAAAAGAAATATATTTGTTTTCTTTTCATATTATTACTTACCAAATTTTCAAAATGATTTAGATTAGGACTAATAATAGATATGAGTAGGATTCTGTTTTGTTGTATGGCTCAGTCTCGATTAAATTAAAAGATTTTGTATGCGTAGAGGTTAGAACTCTTCTTTTTTTTATTACTAACTTATAAGTTTGAAGCGTCTGGCTACTATACTTAGATTAATTTAGTTGTTAACATCGTTCCTGTTAGATGTACAAACGGATATAAAAAGAATCTGTAGCATTAATTTCCATCTCAGCTTCGCCATACACTGGTTGACATCAGTTTGCCCACATCTAGTTTATACGCATTTCAGTCAAGAATCTCACACTAAAATATATATAGAAATAATGTGTCTCATACTGTAAAACTAAAGATAAAACAATTTTGACAAATTGAAAATGATTTTATAGTTCAACTATGAACTCATCAATTATTCTTCGTTGAAAATAATGTTTGATATAGTTAATTATAGATTATGTAAATGTATTTCATATTCGATAGAATATAAAATACGACAATTCTGAAAGACCTTAAAGTTCAATATTTGAATGCGGATTGATCTATTTATTTATTCGATTATTTACAATACATAGGACAAAAAAATAACATGAAACTGATCAAAATAGTTGAAAAAACTCTATAGAAGTACTGAGATTTCTCGATATATCAACATAAATATATTTCTCTTACATTTAATCTTTCATCATCATCATCATCATCACTAATATTATTCCATTTCATCAACATCTTGTTTTTCTAGTAAAATAAGGATTATACTAGTAGAACTCTCTATTCTATTATTTTGTCTTTTGATAGAATAATCTTATTTTCGGATAAGGAAGATAAAAAACGAAGGCGTAAGACAAAAATAAAAAAATAGAATAAGAGATATTTCATCATAGACATTAATATAATCTTATCAGACATTTACCTTCTTATTTGCTTTAAATACATTGCAACGAAATGAATTATTAACATTATCACGTGCAATAAAACTGAAAATTTTCAAATCTTGACTATCATGTGATACATAAAATACTCTAAAATATAAAGTAAAATTGTTTAACTTATTTATTTTTTTTTTTTTTGCTACCTATAGATAGGATGTTGCATTAAAAAAGATTTATTTTCATCAGCATATAAATCTTTCTAAAAGAAAAAAAAAATTTTTTTTTTTTATAAAGAAATTTTTCTACTTACTTTTTTCTTTTTCAATAAACAAACTTTAATACCATCAACAGATATTAATAAATTAACTTTACGTTTTTTTACTGCTTTAGCTTTAAATTCATACTAAATATTTATAATAGATTTTAATAATTTAGTTCTATTTATTTTTATCTTACACGAATACGACGCATAGCAGTAACAATTTCAATTCTGCTTGTTGGTTTAGGTACTTCAACTGAACCAATAAACTATATAGAAAAATAGAAATTTTTGCAAATTTTTATCGTTTATTTTACTTTGGCATCATATTGTATTCCATGTTGAAATGCTTCATCATTATGTAATGGAATTTTACTGTCATAACCATCATCAGACATGGGATCGTAGTCACGATTTTTGGCCGACATGAGAAGTGATCTATAGAGATATATGGAAACATATTTTTTTTTTTTTTGTAATGAACAAAGAAAATTTAATTTAGTCGTTCATTGAATTTTTATCGGACAAGAATTTTAACGAATTATTTTTATCTAGAATATTCTTATTAATGAACATTCATGAAAAAAAAATTACATTTTCATTTACATGAATATAGGAAAATTCAATTCGAAAAAATAATTATAAATATTTAATAGATGTCACTAGACTGTAACAAATATATCTCCGTCTATCTGTCACATAAACTAGATGAAGGTTTTCTTTACGATTAAGACTATTAAAGGGATGACAGTCTAATTTTCACTCTTTAAGTGTAATCTTTCTTAATAATTATAGTTGACAGAGAAAAACTAATGTTGCGTTCATATTATTAATACATAGTTAACTAATGTTGACATTACAAGGCAAATATACAATACGAAATATTTGTAGTTTTAAGTCTTGAATGACTTTACAAATCCCAATTAGTTAGACAAAAAAAAAAAAAAAAGAAACCAAAAGTAGGTACTAACCACTGATATTGTATCTCTCATATAGATAAATACATTTAATCATAATTAAAGAAACAAAATATGTCCCTGAATAAGGTTCCTTATTATTCTTAATTTTGTTTCTTTTTTAAGATGAAGTGTTACTATTCTCTTGACATATGTCACACTTGTCGTTCTTTTTTTTTTCTAAATGAATATGACTGAACTTGCGTGATACCATTGCATAGATACAAACTGTTACATCGTGCATATACATTTATAGATATTTACTGTGATGTACACATGTCGTTTGCTCATTACTACTAACATATATATATATAAATATACAAAGACGAGTCGTGCCTACTCGATAATGATGATGGTATCATATTATCATATACATTTTTACTTCGTTCAGTGTACAAGTA